CCCAGGCCCCTAAGCCTCGCCCTCGAGTTTGCCGCCACCTCCCCTCCTCTCCTCCGCCCAACCTCGTCTTCGTAGATTACCGCCGCTCCCTGCCTCGCCCTCGACCACGTCGGAGTTAGCTGTTGCCGCTCTCCGCCTCACCCTCGAGTAAGTGAAGAAGTCCTTTATACTTACCTTAGATTCATTAATTTTAGAAAAATGTGACAGTTAGGTTTAGTTTTATCTAGCAGGCGAAGGTGTATTCTGGGTTGCATGAAAAGCTTATATTACAGCAAAGAGCGATGTCACCTCTAATGAAGTATTTTGTGCATCCCACAACGGGCCTGTTATGTTTGTTGGATATGAGAGGAAAATCATGGAGTTTAATTAAGTATTCAGTTCATTTGTTTCTCATGTGCGACTTAGCCTTGTGTCAGAAAAGCAAGGGCTCACGAAAGTCTCGTGATTTACATAAATCAAAATTATATTTTTATGTTGAGGCTCGTGGACGTATGGCGGGTTTTGAAGTCAAAGAAGAAAGTGAATGATATGGCTAGTTTTGACTTCAATTCTAACGAGACTTTTAATGACTTCTTTATTTTTCTACTTGTGACTCTCCTCTGTTGATGAACCAACAACACCCTTAATTTCATTTCTTTTTTTCTAATCGGGAAAAATAATCATGTCTTGATATTATATCTAAAATCTTAGTTCTTAAGCTCTTGGGCTCTCAAGTTAGTTCTAACTTGCTCCATGTTAGTTCTAACCCGTCCTATATTAGTTCTAACTCGCTCCATATTAGTTCTAGCTAGTTCTAGCTCTAATTCATCTTAGTTCTAGGCTATTGGGCTCTCAAGTTAGTTCTAACTCGCCCCATGTTAATTCTAACCCGCCCCATGTTAGTTCTAGCTAGTTCTAGATCTAATTCATCTTAGTTCTAGGCTCTTTGGCTCTCGAGTTAGTTTTAGCCCGCCCCATGTTAGTTCTAGTCCGCTTTATGTTAGTTTTAGCTCTAATTCATCTTAGTTCTAGGCTCTTGGGCTCTCAAGTTGGTTCTAACTTGCCTCATGTTAGTTCTAACTTGTCTCATGTTAGTTCTAACTCGTCTCATGTTAGTTCTAGCTAGTTCTAGCTCTAATTCATCTTAGTTCTAGGCTCTTGGGCTCTCAAGTTAGTTCTAATTTGCCCTATGTTAGTTCTAACCCGTACCATGTTAGTTCTAGCCTGTCTCATGTTAGTTCTAGATAGTTCTAGCTCTAATTCATCTTAGTTCTAGGCTTTTGGGCTCTCAAGTTAGTTCTAGGCTTTTGGGCTTCATATTAGTTCTAACCCTCCCCATATTAGTTCTAGCACGCCTCATGTTAGTTCTAGCTCTAATTCATCTTAGTTCTAGGCTATTGGGCTCTCAAGTTAGTTCTAACTTACCTCATGTTTGTTCTAGCCCGTACCATATTAGTTCTAGATAGTTCTAGCTCTAATTCATCTTAGTTATAGGCTCTTGGGCTCTCAAGTTAGTTCTAACTTACCTCATGTTAGTTCTAACCCGTCCCATGTTAGTTCTAGCCCACCCCATGTAAGTTCTAGCTCTAATTCATCTTAGTTCTAGACTCTTGGGCTCTCAAGTTAGTTCTAACTTACCCCATGTTAGTTCTAACACGCTCCATGTTAGTTCTAGTCTGCTTCATGTTAGTTCTAGCTAGTTCTAACTCTAATTCATCTTAGTTCTAGGCTTTTGAGAACGGAGAAAAGCATCTCCCACCTCCGTCGGAGCCTACCGAGACACCCCGACAATCCCGACAACCTCCTCCCACCTCCGGCAAGCCCGGACAGCGATGAAAAGCTCCAAACAGCGAAGAACAAACCCGAACGGTGAGAAATTGTACTGCAGAAAACTGTAGTTTTGTGCCGACTTCGCACGCACTTTTCGATCACCTCCAATCTCCGTTTTCGCTGATTTCTTCTTTGGTGAGTAGACCTACATGTTGCCTATCACCTTTAATTTGTATCACGCTCTAATTCATTCTCTATCTCTCTCAGTAACGTTCGAAACATCGCTCGACGGTAGCAGCGATCAGAAAAACAGCAGCGTCGTGCCGACTTCGCGTGCGTTTGCCGGCCATCTCCGGTCTTCGTTTTCACCACCGTCTTCGCCGATGTGTAGCCCTTTATATTATCTATCACACAGTATCTTCCTTTCACTTGGGCTCATTTTCTACCTCTCGTTATATCATTTTGAATATTACGAATTGTTCCTTCATCATCTCAACCTCTGAGAGAAGTGAAAGGAAGATACCGTGTGAACTATCTAGAACTAACTTGAGAACCCATGTTAGTTCTAGCACGCCTCATGTTAGTTCTAGCTAGTTCCAGCTCTAATTCATCTTAGTTCTAGGTTCTTGGGCTCTCAAGTTAGTTCTAACCTGCCTCATGTTAGTTCTAACCTGCACTATGATAGTTCTAGCCCGTCCCATGTTATTTCTACCTAGTTCTAACTCTAATTCATCTTAGTTCTAGGCTCTTGGGCTCTCAAGTTAGTTCTAACTTGCCCCATGTTAGTTCTAACACGTCTCATATTAGTTCTAGCCCGTCCCATGTAAGTTCTACCTAGTTTTAGCTCTAATTCATCTTAGTTCTAGGCTCTTGGGCTCTCAAATTAGTTCTAACTTGCACCATATTAGTTCTAACCCGCCTCATATTAGTTCTAGCCTGCCCCATGTTAATTCTAGATAGTTTTAGCTCTAATTCATTTTAGTTCTAGACTCTTGGGCTCTCAAGTTAGTTCTAACTTGCCCCATGTTAGTTCTAACACGCTCCATGTTAGTTCTAGTCTGCCTCATGTAAGTTCTAGCTTGTTCTAGCTCTAATTTATCTTAGTTCTAGGCTCTTGAGCTCTCAAGTTAGTTTTAATTTGCCCCATGTTAGTTCTAACCCGTCCCATGTTAGTTCTAGCCCGCTCAATGTTAGTTCTAGCTAGTTCTAGCTCTAATTCATCTTAGTTCTAGGTTCTTGAGAACAGAGAAAAGCTCCTCCCACCTCCGGTGGAGCACACCGAGACACCTCGACGATCCCGGCAACCTCCTCCCACCTCTGGCAAGCCCGGACAGCGGCAAAAAGCTCCAAACAGCGAAAAACAAACCCGAACGGCGAGAAATTGCACTGCAGAAAACTGTAGTTTTGTGCCGACTTTGCACACACTTTTTGATCACCTCCAATCTCTGTTTCCGTCGATTTCTTCTTTGGTGAGTAGCCCTACATGTTGCCTATCATCTCCAATTTGTATCACGCTCTAACTCATTCTCTATCTCTCTCGGTAACGTCCGAAACATCGCTCGACGGCAGCAGCGAGCAGAAAACAGCACTGCCGTGTCGACTTCACGTGCGTTTTCCGGCCACCTCTGGTCTCCATTTTCACCATCATCTTTGCCGGTGTGTAACCCTTTATATTGTCTATCACACGGTATCTTCCTTTCACTTGGGCTCATTTTCTACCTCTCGTTATATCGCTTCAAATATTACGAATCGTTCCTTCATCATCTCAACCTCTGAGAGAAGTACAACAACGAATCGATTAAAAACTGAGCTCCACCGGTCGTGGATGTAGTGGCAACGTGTATTTCCCATGGTGTGTGCTCCTGTAGTTGTAGTTGATTGGTTTAGTTTGCAAATTGTGTTCATAATTATACTGCGCACGTTTGTTTTGGCAGCGCAATAGTTTCTACGGTGGGGGAGCGGCGGCAATCTACGGCGGGGGAGCGGCGGCAATCTACGGCGACAAGGATGGGCGGAGGAGAGGCAGAGGCGAACTCGAGGGGGGCTTGGGGGCCTGAGCGGAGGCTGCGACGGCGAGGAGGGCAAGGGCTAGGGCGACGAGCTTGAGAAAGCTCTTAGTTTTAGAGAGAGGAAGAGAGAGAGGAGATGAGTGTTGGGTCTGACGGATTGAGGAGAGATGATAATGATAATTTGGGGATTTTAGCTTAGCTGGCATGTAATAATTGCTAAAAAGGGGCTGCAGCACAAAGTGTCACACTTCAAGGGGCTGATCCAAATGGGAAAAACTATGAGGGGCCTCGTCACATGAAGTTTCTGCTTTTAGGGCCTGGACATATTTTTTCCAAAAACAAAAAACAAAAGAATCCACTTATGTAGACTCTGAAACTTGCAAAAGTTTTTCTCATGAGGTGATCCAGCAAGGAAGTTTGTGTTATGGAACAGCCAAGAAAGTACTAAAATTTCACGTCAAATTGAATAATAAACTCGCCATTCACCTCAAGTGATTTTCCCGTTTCTTTTCTTTTACTTATATAAATCCTAGTTTTTAATGTTATTGATTATTGAAGGTGGGAAAAATTGTAGAGCTTCATATTAATTTTAGGTGGAGAAAGAAAAAGTATGAAGAGAAGGAAAATGGCTGGCCACAAAAACGAAAGCGATAATTAATAATAATAAAGAATATAAAGCTAGTTGTTTGCCAAATGTCCAATTTGCAACCAAAGTTAACTACTATATTAGTATAGTGTGAATATAGATAGATGGATGTGATCGACTGGTGAGGGATATTCTAAACAGGCTCAGTATACGAATCTGCTAATGGCAAAATTATCTTCTATGTCAAGTTTCCAACATGCTTATAAACATTCACAAATTCTTAGATTGTACCTGAGCACAAATTCTGTTTCAATATCATAGATACTTTCAGTCTGAATTTCTTCCTCAAGATAACCAGATGTCAAAATTGAACAATGAAAGAGAGAATTAAAATATACGTAACCCACATTTTTTTTTGGTTGCGCTGAATACATGATCCAAGATGGAGATATTACTTAGGTAAACGCATGACCAGAAAAGGAGGAGAGCAAAAGACAGTGTAGATCTATGAAGTTGGTGGATATTGTAATACAAGCTCTCTATTTTTTTATTTTTTTATTTTATTTTTGGGAGTAACAATCTGAATGTGAGCTCACACATCAAGCATGAATAGGAGAAGGTGCCACAAACTCCTTATTCCATTTTGTTAAATTAGTCCCCTTCTCTTGATTCTACTGTATCCTCTGTGGCTGTCTCACAATTTTTCAAATAATGGAGAAGAAACAACTATGCCAACTTGTGATGAATTCCCTCCTCTTCCTGCTCGTCATCACTCACTCCTATATGGGACTCCTCACTTTCCTACCAACAATTACACCTCTCATAAACCTCCAAAACATCCCAAATAGCAAACAAACATTAGTCTCAACACATGCACAAACCAATCAAACTTCATCTTCAAGAATCCCAAGGTTGGCCTATTCAATCTCAGGAACAAAAGGAGACCTTGAAAGTCTATGGAGGACCTTAAGGGCTATCTATCACCCTCGAAATGTTTATGTTGTCCATTTGGACTTGGAATCCCCAAATTCTGAAAGAGAGGAATTGGCTTCTCGCATCAAGAATGATAAAATATTTGCAAAGATGGGGAATGTGCATGTAATTGTTAAGGCGAATATGGTCACTTATCGTGGTCCGACTATGATTTCCAATACTCTCCATGCTTGTGCTGTTCTCCTCAAGAAGAGCAAAGATTGGGATTGGTTCATAAACCTTAGTTCATCAGATTACCCTCTTGTGACTCAAGATGGTAGGTTAATTTGTTTACATGTCCCTCCATTGGTTTTTTCGGTTTCTCTGATTTCTATGGTCGTTGATGTGTAGATATCCTTCATATCTTTTCTTCTCTGCCGAGGAATTTGAACTTTGTGGATCATACAAGTCGCTTGGGATGGAAAGAGTATGTCAAAATTGATAAAAGATTCTTATGAAGTCTGTTTATAGTAATTAGTTAGAGATTTGTGTTTTTATTGCTACTACTGGTAATTGACAGAATGCACAGGGCTAGACCATTAATCATAGATCCAGGACTTTATCTTTCAGAGAAATCCAATGTTTACTGGGTAACCCAAAGTAGAGAATTGCCAACAGCCTTCAAGCTCTTCACAGGTAATTCTTCCCTCTAGTGCTAACATAAATGTTGGGCTAATTGCGGAAAGACCCCTGTAATATCACTGTTGTGAACTTACTACTCACGCAGTTTCATCATTGCAGATTGACCCACTAGGTTAAATTCTTTTTTCTGTTTTACACTTGGTAAAATTTTAGCAGATATTGCCCCGAGGTGAAATTAGTGGGTCTCTCTGAAGGTAGAACAGTAATAAAAAAAATAACCCAGGAGGTCTGTCTGAAACAATGAAACTACATGGGTAGTAAGTTCACAACAGTGATACTACAGGGGGTCTATCCGCAATTGACCCACAAATATAATCAGATTTCATAATTCTGCCTAATATTACAATTCAAACTGTATTTCTTTTCCTTCTACAATTTTCTCAGGCTCCGCATGGATGGTTTTATCTCGAGAATTTGTATACTACTGCGTCTTAGGCTATGACAATCTACCAAGGACTCTCCTAATGTACTACACAAACTTTATCTCCTCTTCCGAAGGCTATTTCCAAACAGTCATTTGCAACGCGCCCAAATTCACACAAACAATTGTGAATCACGATCTCCATTTTATTCAATGGGATTGGCCACCAAAGCAGCATCCACGAACCCTAACATTAGCCGATAAATCCAAAATGATCGGAAGCAACGTGCCATTTGCTCGTAAGTTTAGGCATAATGATCCGGTGCTCGATAGGATTGATGTCGAGCTACTTGGGTGGAGGAATGAGAGTTTTGTTCCTGGGGGTTGGTGTGAAGGAAGTCCGAACTGCTCAGAAGTTGGAGATTCTACAAGGCTGAAGCCAGGCAAAGGGGCGGGTAGATTGGCTAGGCTCATGTATAGGATAGTTAAGTCTAGAAAGTCCCGTGGTAATCAATGTACATAAGACAATTACCAGAGTTTGCTGTTAAAGAGTTAAAACAAATATTTTTGCGAAAGAAACAAGTACTTTAATTGTGGAAAAATGATTCTCACTTGAAAAACAACAAGGAAACAATCAATCAAGATATGGAATACTATGTGTAAACGTTAAAAGGTGATTTTACGGTAACAAGTTCCTCTTTTAACTACCGATTCACCGTTTATTTCTGTCATTACAGATTTGCGTATTAAGAGAGATTATGTTCTCTGGACTATTTTCTTTTCGACGTGAGGACAGGTCTGATGGGATTAATTTTACTTAATCTAATGCTAATGAGTCTTTATTTGCAAATAGTCTTTGGCATCGTTTAGTCAAAAACCCCTACTTAACAAAGATTTGGACAAACCAACCCAAACGTTTGACTTGGTCTAATGCACTTGACCTGATTGGGTGCACCTAGAAACAAATGATCAATCTCGTCCACAACCAAAATTGACAACACATGGATTCGTTGTATCCAGAGAAATGCGGTCAGTAACCGCTGGAATTAGCTAACACTAAGGCCCATTGAATATCTAAACCCCACCGACTCCCGTTCTTTGACCACTAAACAGATGAGAAAAGTTTAACAAAACCATCCATCACTTTGCCATGAAAGCAATTCAACTTACTATTTGCCCGAAAATTTTGATCCAAAAATCCTATTTTTATAGTAGTTAAGATAGTCGACGGACTCGGTTGAATAGATGAATCCTGTTGAAACTACAAGCATTTTGCTTACATAGTTGGGAGAAACTATCCATGTTCCTTCCAACTCTCAAACATCTGTTGTTTCCGTTCACACTTCATCAGCACTCTCAAGAGGTTGTTTATTGACTGGTCGTCGAGGTTAGGAATGTTGTTAGCATCAATCATTTAATATTTAGAGACAAACAAAGTCTCTGACCCTCCAAATCTTTAGGTAGGATCCCAATCACACTCCTAACCCCCTACACAATCCAAGGTGCTAAAGCCTACAACCAAGAAGCCAAAGTCTCTATAGAATGATAATGGTCACTAAAGAATGATCTCTTCCAATGGTAGACTAGTCTGACGAATAATAACACACGTATTATAAATACCTACAAGGGGTCCATTATGTTTTGTATTATTATGATAATTTTAAACAGGCAATCCAACTAATTTTCATTAAACAATGTGCGAACTCCACTGTGTACGTACGTATATAAAGAAATCTGGGATTATCTTTGTAAGCCTTACATTTCAATTAGTGAGGTATGACTAGAGAGACTTCCAACAAATGAAGAGCGAGTCAAATACAACGGTCAGTAAGTTGCATAAAAAATCAGTAGCGCAGTGTTTTCTCATACACTGGCAAAGACTTCTTGTAGGAAAGCACTAGGGATGCACATATGTGACATAAAAATAAGTAATTTATTTATTATTACGAAAGTAAATCAAACTGCATAATTACAGGCTAAGGAAGCTAACAAAATTAAAAGGAAAAAGAGTAAAGAAGAAAGTAGTTACAAGAATCTCGGATTTAGTGAGCCTGTGCCATCTCCATGTGAGGGTTTAAGCTTTTGGATCCAGTGAACCAACCGATTTTTATGATCTTGAGATGTCAAATCAGGGAGCTCGTTAAGTGTCCCGTCTCGAGCAAGAGCAGATTCAAACTGTTCGAGAACCTTCACGATCTGCCAGAACTCCGGTCTCTTGTCTGGATTTGATGTCCAACATTGTTCAATTAAAGCTCTCAGAGCTAATGGACAGTCTGAAGGAATTACTGGC